GTGGAGTGGCGGAGGCCTTCAAAAGTGTCGGTAGACCGGTTCAATTCTTGTTTCTGTTCCGAGGGTTTTCCATTGGCCTCAGACTTGTACGCAGTATCCGTCGTCAGCATGGTGTCCAAGGCGTTGCCAGAGGACTGGTAGGTAATGTTGTTAATGGCCAAAGAGGTGTGCGAAGAGTTGCTACCGTGGTTATGGTTATTCCCTGAGGAGGTGGAGGAAGCGGGTTGAGGACAGCAGGTGTCCTGTTGACAATTGCGATTTGGGCCGCAATCGTACATACAGGTATCAGGTTCTAGCCCCTCGTCCTGAAGAGAAAGACAATACAAAAGATTTATTATATAATATATATATATGAAACTCACGAATGGATGAAAACGTTCGCGTTCCAGGTATTTGCATGGATGAGGAAGAAGGGTTGACAAACAACTGCGGTAGACCGGAAGAAAAGGTACGAGAGGCCCGATATCTCTGCGACCAATTCATGCAGAATGGTTATCCGAAAGCATGCTCACGCGTTCGGCTCCAAAGGACCCAAACAGAAGAAACACCGAGGATATGGCACGATCTGCCATGAATCAAAGACGTCCCAGAAGCGACCGAGCGTATCGCTGCGGGATTAGGTATTGGAATTGCATACGATGCGCAGCAGGGTAATGAAAACAAAAGACCGGCTGAACCCCAATGAACAATTCGAGGTAGTGTATCGTATCCCTTGCTCAAGCTGTCCTTTTAACTATACAGGGCACACTGATCGCATGTTCAGATCACGCATACATGGAGATAAACGTGCGGTACGACTAGGTGACGAATTATCACAAGTTGTAGCGCATACCTATGAAGCAGGCCATCAGTTCAACTTTTGCGGCCGTCAAGGTACTAGCTCATGCCGTAAAACAAGACGAGCCAGGAATTTATCGAATGCTGGACGAGAATTAAATCGACAGATGTGTCGAGTTGGCGCCGGCGTACATAACCTTGTACAGTCAAGTGCAGTCACACCCAGATGACCATCACAGGTAAGAGGCCCACGTCATCTATAATCAGCCCCATTTTCGTTGCCGACGCCATGACGAACGTTGACATCACTGAAAACTAATCAACGAACACCCCTACAGTTGCCTTTATCTCCTCTCCTTTTTTTCATCGTTGTGTCTTATCCCCTTACGACCCCTGACAGCTGATTTGTGTAAATTCGTTATAATTACCCCCTTTCTGTTACTGTTTCTTATCTCTGACAATGGACTGCTGCAAGAGTTCCAAAAGCTCAGAACAATAAACAAACTGATCCGCTGCTCGTCAACCCTTCATCCAAATATTAAACGTTTTAGCGACAGAGAACAAACAATCTGCAGCTTTAGGAAAGAAAAGAAAACGTAGAGTGGACAGACTAGCAGTAGAACGACACAACTGCCTAAAGAGTGACGTTTACGTGCAGCATGATATGGAGGAAATTCGCAAACAAACGCGGAGAATAAAATAGACAACCCCTTAAAAGATAAAGCAATAGTTAATCAGCACTCTTGCCAGCAGACCATTTGGGAAAAAGCAGAAGCTCTTACAAGACAGATAACGCACAGACATTTAAGCCAGGGCGTGCATGTCTTAAGCAGGTCACTTTTATCGGTGTGAAAAGCATTTGGCCTGCCTATCAAATTAAAGTCGACACATATCTTAAGGGTGCTTACCCTTCATATGTTACTGCCAAGGTAAATGCGTGTATCGTGAGGAATTCTACCGAAAAAGGGTCGGAACACAAAGCTAGTCATTTCTGGGATATAAATCATGACAAGACAGAGAAATCTCAGGCTCAGATGCTACAGTCCCGAATTCAACAGGCAGAAGGCAAGATTGACAGATCAATGGGATAGTCAATTAGACCAATGATTAACTGGACCTAGGTTCAAATCTCGAGTGAGCCGGTACCTACGAGTGATCATCACTGGCCGAGGACGTCAACCTAGGCGACAATGGATATTCAAGTTTCGATGACACTTCCGTATTATTGTTATTAAGTCTCCTGGTGGAGCTCTAGGTACCCGGCTCCAAGACCAAACGGTGAATGCGCCTTTACATCTAATTTTTATACAAATTCGGGAAGGTTATTTTTATTAAGAGGAATTACTTATGTCGTAATTTGCCATACTAGCAACACAGGTACTAGTTAGAAGCCCAGAAACGTGTCTCACCGGTATTCTGCCGCTGCTTGACACAACTGCGAGAGGTCCGGCTCACCAGTGGGCCCCCTGCGTTCCATGTTTGCGTTATGGGTGAGAAGCCCATTGCGTTCAAATACTGTTAGACTAGCTAGAAATGGCTGGCGACTAGTTAGGATTACGCGGGTAACCTGATACAAGGCCTCCGCCGACGCGCAGTACAACAACACGGCTGATTCGGTTTTAGCCACCGTGGTGGTGATGTGATACCCAACACACCTCTTAGCTGGTGCTGACGAGTCGCGCCTACCACACAGTCACACGGTTCCGCCCCGCAGTCAAAGCGTTTAGCTTGGTGTGGCCACTGCAGGTCGCACAGTTGCACGTAGACAGAAGAGAGGACTGGGTGCGACAGTGCAGTAGTGGACGGCTTTAAAAAGTTGGTGTACAGCTGTTGATCCATTAAAGTGACCACCCATCCCCGCCGTGCTGGGCACCGCATGCATCCACTTTGGCATATACATTTACTAAGAGAGCACCTGCCAAGTCGCCGCGAGACACGTGCACGCATATTCAGACCCCGTAAGGTGAACCGTCCAAGTCGACAATACTTGCGAAAAAAAATGGCGCAAGAGGAAAACTAACAAACCTGCACGTGCATCCACCTACCAAAAAAACTATCAACATATAGGTGTCGTATATTCTTCTCAGTAAAAGCATAACATTTCACGGAAACAAGGTAAACATACACTAATTTATGGTACCGGTGTCAAAAGAGGGTTGAAAGTCGTCTTACTGGAAAGAAGGAAGCACGTGCCAGGAAAACCAGAGGTGCCCGAAGGTCACCTTACCACCCCGTTTTAGATGAAAGCAAGCTTAGAATACAGGTCTTCAGCAGTTAGGTACACGCACCGCCTGCTTATTCGAATAGCCAGGCTCGAAAGGAATTCTTTATACACAGCTAGATAAAATGACCGAAAACAGTTGCTAATACCCAGTCTGGGAGAAATATGAGGTTCGCCCAACTCGCCTTAGGAGAAGAAAGGAAGGGAGACCCCCAGCACCACGGCGGCTTTTCAGCCCGTTGAGTTACTAGGGGAATATCCGCCGGTCGTGAGGAAAGGCGATATCAAGAAAAGTTGCAAACGCATAAAAAAACAACGTAGTCAACCGTTTCTGACATATTTACCATCCTCAGTTCCGCATACCTCAAAAATAGAAAGGAAGAGTTAACCCTGGGTAAGTTGCTCAACGAACCTTCGAGTCAGACGCCGAGTAAGCCATAGTAAGGACCCACACAGGCTATCGGCTGCGATAGGAAGCAGTAAAAGGCCCACGGAAATGGCATGCCAAAACTACCGCTAATCCCTGGACAGGAATCGGCAATCAC